ATGCTCTGGTGTCACCCTGCGCACCCAGGGAACCTGAAGCAAAGAAAACCAGAACAAAAGTACTGGAAGAAGAGTCAGGAACACAGCTGGGACTCTGGCACTATTCTTTGTCTTTCTTCAGGAACCTAACCTTTCTGTAAGACCTATCCAGAAGTGACCATGCCTTTTACAATATAACATAGATATAGCAACAGTACGCCAAGACAGAGCATGTTCCATTTTGAAACTTCTCTGAAAGTCAGTGTGATTGTATTAAATGCAATAACATTTTAAAATCCATAATGCTTTCCCCAAGATTAATTTCTCTTGGCATATTTCTAAAGACTTGCACTTATGTATCATTAGCTCTAGGTGTTCAGCAAATACAATCATTCACAAATAGAGGAACACAGTGACAAACAAGAAACAGTGAGTTTAAAGGTAGCCAGGTATGACAGACCACTATAGATAAAATCAATGACCAGTACTCCAGTACGCACATGTAACAAATTACAGTGCAGGATTCAAGATACTAATATCTGAGTGGGAGGATGCTGAAATAATCTTTTAAGCCATAAAGAAAACTTCATAATCAGGGAGACTTCCTGAAGAGAAGGAATCCCTTTCCTTTGGAAATATTTGCTAATAGTAAGTCTAATAAAGGTGTATGTATCTATAGAGCCTATAGTAATGCGTTATGAACAGGTTAACTATTTTCCTTTTTCCACTTTAAGATATCTACAAAAGACCTGTGATTTTTTTGTTGATTTGCTGTGTAATGGTCTTCCATTTATTTCCCAGTTCTGGGAATTGTTTAGGAAACAATATTGATGAGTGAGGGATCTGATAACATTCATGACATCTTCCTGTCTCACACATGAGCCCAGAAGGCTCATGACAAAGCATGGCAGGGAAGGGGAGGGAAAAACTTTTCTGCATCAGAAATGGAATAGGAGACCAAAACCAAATTTAGATGCAAATATTAATGTTATAGTGACACAAGGTGAAGATCTAACTGCCTTGCAATACTCTATCAAACCCCATGTTAGTTATTTATTAATGATTTAGTATAAGCAGTGAAGAAGCCCAACCTGCCAAAGGACCTGCTCACCCTGTTTGTAAGTATCGCTGACGACTGGAAGGAATTTCACAAAGACTTAATGTGTGTCCACAAAAGAAAAGGTCACAACTTTTAATAAGTTTTCTACAACAACCTCCTTGTTAATTTAGAGCCCTCCAGTATGTGTTTTCTTTTTGTCATCACACAGTCCCTCTATTGCCTAGTTTAAGCCTGAGGTTATGGCACACTTTAAAACCAAAACGATCTCTCCCAGAAAAACAATCAACCGACCGAAAAAGAGATGGCAACATTGGTATCAGAGATGAGGAACGGGATAAAGCAGTAGCCATTGCCACATGGGTGTCAGCACCTGAGCCAGCTGCTGGGGCTTGCTGGTTGGCCTTGTGTCTTGTTTTGGATGCGCATGTGTTGTAAACCTTACTGCTCTTCAAAGATGATACAAACTGCTTTTTACAAAACATCTGAATAAAGCAACTCTTTCATACCATGCAAAAACAGACCAAAAGCATGTTGTAGCAGGAAAACCACTGGCTCGCTGCCCACACCCTACCAGCCTTTTCTGAGGGGCCCCTCTCCTTGACCAGGCAGTGCAGGACTGCACCCTGGAAAAACTGCTCAGCTGCACACCCCTGCCTTCCCCTTCCCTGCATGAGGGTCCTGCTGATTTTCCCCCTCGTAACTGGAAACACACCCCACATGGGAAAGAATAACAGTCACGTGCCAGATATATCTGCCTGTGTGTCAGCGACTACTGCTGTGTCCCCCCGTCCCCAGATGTCTAGCTACGACTACATGTGGCCATGAATTTGTGACCATGAAAATCAGCTGCCCTCCACAGAGCAGAGCAGATATCCTTGCTAGACATGCTGGTGGTGATGTGAGTAAGAGACTGGAGTGTGGGATCTCCCCAGGCCTCATTAATGACGTTATACATGCAAATAAATCATACATAGAAAAATCCACACCATATAAAAAGGGATATGTTATATATATGTATGTGTGCCAAAGGTATGTGCTATGCTGTAGCCATGTTTCCAACAGTTTCCTAGGATGTGACCCTGTGCGTCAGTTCTTAGCTGGGTGCATGTTTTCAAATACATTTGTAAGGGACTGAAAATGCTCGTTTAAATAGAAATGCTGGCTGATTCTGAAAAATACAAGAGAGAACATCACAGCTTTTACTCGTGCTCAGGAAATGCGAATGGGCATTTTATAGAAATTTCAAGCCTACTTATATTTGTTATTTATATAAAGTAGACTCACTTCTAATTTATGGGCTTAACCAAACACACACTGCTAAGGTCAAAGTCTTCTTACATTCTTTAAAAGCGAGTAGTGATCATTTTCTTACTTTATACATGAAAACTGCCTTTTAACTTCATTCATAAATGACCCAAATGCATAAAAACACAACAGAGAAAAAGACCTTTCTAAAAGAGAGAAATCTTCTGTCAAACTGAAACTCCCTCCTCCCTGGTACTGTTAATGCTTTCTGATTTATGGAAATGTTATTCAGTATGTCTTCCTGAAAATTCATTTGATTGGAAACATAAAAGGGTTGTTCACTTCATCCTTTCAATGGAAAATGTTTATGACAACGTGATTATGGAGAAAAATGCAAGAAGACCAAAGTAAAATAATAATGGACATTTTCAAAGATATTGATCTGTTTTTTTCTAATTTTCTTTCTGAAAGGCTCAAACTAAAACACCTGATACTATTCACTAACTCAGTAAACTCTTGGTGTTGCTCAGAGCAATGCAAGTTTGAACTCACTAAATTGGAAGTTCAAGACTCATTACCTGAGTTCATTTGGAGAATACGCAAGTCTGTGTAGGGTTGTGCTTTGTCAGCCAAGCGCATGCTTAGTTTTCATAGAGTATATTCAGTTCATATTCGTCTGGCAGAAGTTACTCAGCAATTTTGAGAAACTTAACCACAACATGTTATCATCAGTGGAGATTTTTCTCCACAGAACATGCAAATGCAACTTTTTCTGAGCAAATGTGGTTTTGCTGCTTTCAGACACAATTTGAGGACAGATTGCTCATACACTGACAATATGACCAAATATTGATGTTCGTGTTATCTGGATAGCAATCCCATAACATATTGCATCTATCAAACAATTACCTTGTCACTAGCTCTTTAAAGTCTAGAAATACGTATATGCACAAGCAGCTTTGCTGATGCATGTCATTCTCCATACCAATAACTTGCAGCTGGGAAACTAACAACCTAATTTGTACCTTGTTGGGCAACGAGATGTTCTGACAAGTCATTGTGCTGAGGAAATCCAGACTTCTGAAAGTAATTTTTTGCTGATTCTCTGGGCTTCCAGTAGATTTTTATTGCACTCTAAACCAGGGATTGCATCCTTTAACCTCTAATGTTGAAATTATTTTGAATTTTGTTATTGACTTCAGCTCAAACAGGAATGAACTTCAATTCAGCACATTACTGGCTGCTTTTGTAAGTCTCCAATCCCAGCTGGCTGAAACACCATGTATGCATAAATAAAGTCCTGTCTTTACTCTGGTCCTGGTATTCCTAAACTGCATAGATTATTACAACATTCAAAAAGGACTTGAGAAAAAGGCTTACACATTTTAAAATAAATGGTTTTCTTTAGCTTCAAAGGAAGTTGAGGAAAAAAAAAATGCACCCTCTTCTTGCCCTCTCTCTCTTTCTGGCATACATTTTGAACCAACCACTTTGTATATACTCTGGCTATTACTTTTCCCATGCGTATCTGCATTCCTAGCAGTTTAGAATCAGAAGTTTCACGAGATTTCTTTACAGGACAGATGAAAATATCTTGAGTAGGAATCAAAAGAAAATTATCTACCAAAGAACTAAAATCCCTAAATTTCTCACTTAAAGTCAGTCAAAACCATTAATCTAAACTGTTAACACGTCCAAATGGAACCCCAAAGCTGTCTTATGGCAGGCAGCAAACAGTCTTCAAGGGTTTATGTCATCCTGAGGACTGCAGTCACGTCATGGTGGTGCAAGCACACCTCAGCAGCACCACAGAAACAATTATGTCATTTCCATCCATAAACACCTTGGTTCCAACTCAAAGTGCTTAACCACATGCTTATATCTAAGCATGCTTGTAGAACTTGTGAAGCCAATGCAATTACTGGAGAAATATTCTCCTGTGAGGTTCATCCTGTCCTTCTCTGCTTTCTCTTGCCTTTATTTTCTGTAACCTAAAGGTCTTGACACCTTATTCTTCCTGACAAAGAAGGGCTAATTTTTCACTATGGTCATACAGAAAATATTCATCATTATCACCACCATAAAGTAATTAAATAGATGAGCAAGGGAGATCCATCGACTGCATGAAACTTATTCCTTCACTTCTACTTTTCCCTTTTTTAAATTACAACTGTTTGAAACAAGGATCCAGCTCCTTCAGTAACCTGTGAGGCAGTCAGCCTTCACTTATGATTCTAGTAGTAACAGCCAAACTATTAGGAACCACATAATGTAATTTGCTGTACTATGATGTGTTTGGATAGTAACTGTAAAACTGCCATTTTTTACAGCTTTGAAGGATTTATAAAGAAAAACCCCACAATTTTACTGTGTTCATTACCACACCAAGTTCACCATTTTTCTAGTGACTTGCCTAAATTTTGATATCAGAAAGAATGACACTGTCTTAAGTCTGCTATCTTATTTTTACAAGAGTGTGAAGGAATACAAATGCAGAGCTCTGTCAATCCTAATAACAGCAGGGGCTTCTAACCTTGCAGTGATTTCACTAGATTGAATTTAGATGTGCTTTCAAATGCAAGCAGTTAAAAAGTGCTCCAGAGTCATTCCTGTCTCCAGTAGCTTGTTGGATTGCACCGGGAGATAATGGATTGACATTATTACTGGTCCTGGCCAAATGCTGTTGGTAAAGTGCTCAAGGTCATTCGCAGCTTACCTCTGCCTGTGCTGGGTGATGTACAGCAGCGCTCAGCTGCACTGATGGGTTCATCGTTCTCGAAGGCAGTGACCAATGTTGAGCAGCTGGCTGAAAGGCTGTTTGATCTTCCCACTGCTTTGCAAGCAATACCACACTGCTCAAAGAAAAAAAAAAAAAAAAAAAGAAAAAAGAAAAAAAAAAAAACACAGAAGAAAAGAAAAACACCCACTATTGAAAAGATTTATCAGCAAATGTAGTAGAGCCATGCTTGACCTCCATATCTGCTCTTGTTCCCCAAAGGCAGCACATGTAAGATATTTCCTGTCTTTCATGTTACTAACTGGAATGCATCACAAAGTCCAAATTTGCAACCTGCTGTCTGTTTTAGTCATTAGGCATGACTTTCTTTGTCTCTTGATGAGAGCTGCAGCCAACTGTTCACTGTTGGAATGCATAATTTTCTCAGTATTTCCCCCTTCCCTGAACAAATAAACAAAAAAAACCCATCCAGGCTGAAAGTTGACATTCATTCCTAAGCCAAGGGTGCTGCGTCTTACAATATCTTATTTCCAAATCAGCACATCACACTCTGCTCAAGAACACCAAAACATTAGTTGCGGAGTAAATAGTCTCCACCTATTATTCAGGGGCCAAATTCAAAGGTTACTGAGCAACAGTTAAAAGCACCTACTAGATTTCAAAAGAGTTGACCAGCCCCAATGCTTATTCAACTGAGCATGAAAGTTGAGTTTACTGGCTACAACTTGGTTCTACATCCACTGATCTGTCAAAAACACTCATGCATTGTGTTCTTTATATTGTTTTTCAAAATTATGTCCACTTTGCAGAGACATGCTACAAGTTATGAAATTATTTTTGCCAGCTGCTGTATCTTTAAATATTGTTCACAAAACAGTTAATTGGTATTTTAACCATCTTCAAAGTCAAATGAAGACAATTCATAAGGACCTTAAAATATACATAAAGTGTAAAATACCAGTCCACAAGTAGTACACAAGTACTGATTATGCCCTTGCTCCACTAATATTATACATATATATATATTCAACAAATGTCTTTAAAATGAAAGAAAATCCTAGAATCCCTGATGATTTTTATAACAAGTCTTCTTCAGTACAGAAAAAAAGAACTAAAAAAGATGTGCATGCCAAATTGATACCTATTTTGAAAACTAGATTGGTGAGAGGGACCTCACCCTGACAGACAGCGACCTGTTGGGCTGCTCTGCCATTCCAATAACAAGATTATTCCACAAGCAGCAAAATTAGCAGAACTTGATTTCTTATCTATTTTTGCCTTCTGCCCCCTAAATCTCCTTCCAGTGCAATAGGCCTGACCATCTGCTTTTCCCCTACACCAGTCCGAGCTGCAGGTGCCTGCAGCGGTTAGTCTGGAGCTGGAGACATGGGCTGGCCCAGCAGCTCCTGTCAAATCCACGAGGTAACTGATGGTTTCTGACGGTGCTTCTGTCAGTGTGGGCACCAACATGAATCTTTTCCCTCTATCCAGCTCCCAGTGCTCATAGACCTCATAGGCAATTAAGGCGAATTTGGTTGAAATTCCTGAGCTATTTCCAATGTTATGAAAGGGAGAGTTGCCGGCAGATTGGGATGCAGACCACAGAGGGCTGGTGTGCCAGGTTAAAAGCAGCCCATTCCTCTAATTCAGCACAGATATCCAAACCCTTACAACTAGAAGTAAAACAGCCTTCGACTACATTGTACTAGTAGTTCAGCAGCTACTTTGTAAATTATAAGGCAATTTGATATTTTTTTTTATATACTAATTTGACATTAGTCATTGCAAGCAAGTTGAAAAGACCTAAAGGTCAAACCATCCGTTCACCTGCAAACACAACACTGTCATTTATTTTATGTCTTACCAGAGACAGGCTTTGTTGTTTGTAATGGTTTAAAATTTCAAGACAGAAAACTGACAGAGTATCTGCCAGTTTTCTCATTCAGTTAAAAATGTTGGTCTGAAGGGAGGAAAAAGATTTAATTCAATTCTTCTACAACAGCAAGAGTTTCAGTCTTTCCTTTTTAGGAAAAGTTGCAGGATCCCAGATATGAGCGACCTCTTTCGAAGACAAGTATGGAATATTACAAATATTTTTGCCCAAGGACTTCACCAAGAGGTAAAAGGATTTAGTGGAAAGTGTCTGTTCATGCCCTGCATCTCTCAGGCTCGCTATTTCCAGCCTTTGTCTGACCACACCCATTTACTTTGAAAGTTGTGAGTGCCGGTGGAGTAGGGATGTTCAGGCAGTTTATAGTGTTGTGTTCCCAGTTGCAGATAACACTATGCACTTTCATCCCTCAGCTGTAGACTGCAGGCTGATAGCTTAAATTATTCTGTTGGGAATTACTTTCCCTATAGCTTGAAGTAATTAATCAACTTTCATTACCTGTTTAAGTTCTGGATTTTCTCCTTAATTTTAAATAGATACAAATCAGATCATTTTGAGGAAGCTTTCATAGTGAGAATTACAAACATCTTTAAAGATCCTTGCTGAGGGGCATTTTCCTCTAATTCAGTCCATTAAAAAATGTCTCAAAACAACCAATAGAAAAATAAGATCTGCTTGACTGACAGCCAAGGCAGGCTATCTTACTAGCAGAAATTATTTAGCGACTATGATTCACGGAAACTTGTGTTCCCACCAATCACATGAGTTAGTTATAAAGCTTTGTGTAAGGTTAGTAAGACCCCCAAACCTCCCACATCTCCAAAACTTTAGACTATATGGCAAATCATTGTCATCTTCCCATACTAGAAAGGTTATTTCTAGTATAGTAATGATAGAAGATCCAGAACTGGGAGACTATGTTGGAGACAGGGTGTTTGACTCTAGCACTGCCACTAGATGCACTTGTTCTGTCCCTTGGGCATTTATGTAACCTCAGGTTTTACTTGTGAAGTACAACCAAATCACATAGCCTTTTCTTTAATACCCTTTTCACTGTCTGTGATTTATATCTCATTCTGGATTATGACAAATGACAATTTCAATTCCACATCCAAATGGGATTTGAAATGCCATGCAAGATGTGTATTTAACACTTTACATCACCGCATCTATTTTAAGTAAGCATCTATACACACTCCAGATACTGCATTGAAGCCTCACGTACGTTAAGCAGCAGCAAGTCCTGTTCTCAGAGGCAGAGAGTATAGCTTTTCTATACTTTGAGGTGGATTGGCCAAATCCTCATATATTAATTCTCAAGCACAGGTATTAGTCCTTTTTTTTGTCAGTTTAGATTAATTGACTGTGCCATTCATAATCCTGCTAATAACAGCCACATTACTCAACATATAGTTTGGAAGGTTTTCAAACTGACATTATAAAATATCTGCAAGAGAAGGGACAACCACCATGTTTCAAAACTTTGCCTGCTCATTTTGACCATCTGTGTAAATCAGCAAACAAATTTCATGACCACTTGTAAGATACAACCCAAAAGCTACAATTGTTACCTGAAAGATATCCAAAGAGCAGAGACAGGAATGCAACTTAACCCAGCAATATCCAGGCCTCTTGAAAAACAGGCAGACCTATTTTTATAAATAATGGGTAAGTACATGTCACTTGAAATAAACAACACCTAACGGACAATATGGATGACTGAAAAAAATAACCAACATCAGTTTGACAAGAGCAAATCAACACTGCCTATCAGAAGGGAGAGTGGGAAGTCAACAGAAGAGAAAATCTGTGGGTGATAACCAGTAATGTTTTATGTGTTGACTTATTTTATGTGTGTCTTACAGAGCCCACTGGCAACATTTTTCTGTAATTTTATCAAAAATCACAATAAATTTTAAAATAAAAGTGATTTATAGGAACTTGGATGTTAGCGAGAGGATAGACTCAAAGATGTTAATACTAACCTATATATGTTGGGGAAACTTGGAGCCAAAGTAATGCCAATCATCTTCTATAAATTGCATAATTTAAATTAATTACTCGGTGCCCACAGACTAAAGAAAATTTGGTAACAGAAAAAGTAGTCCTCATTTTCATCATTGAAAGAAATGACTGGTCTGAGGGAAAAATAAGACTGGTGCCTTAAAAATCACTCTTAGGAAAAGAACTACTGGTCCGATTGCAACTCATGTGTGATTCAGTCAACTGCCTGTAACTATAAGATTGGCACTGTTTAAATTCACAGCTTCTCAGAGGGATGAAGCTTGCTTCCAATTCATCTTTTCCACCATCTGAAGAATTAAGAGAGTGGCTGGTGATGAAGAACAAATTAATCAAGTTTATTGTGACAATCATGACTGTTACAAAATAGTCTTACAGCACATGCTAGCCTCCCACACACTTTTTCTTTCTTTATTCAAAACTTGTTGAACATTCGGTTCAGGTCCCCTGAGACATATGTCTAGTAAAGTGCTGATTCCAGGAATAAAACCATTTCAGGTACATGCAATAGAAGTTGCTTGTAATAGACTATTAGCAGTTATGTGTCTAGATGTACTGTTGTTCTCACATCTGATGTCATGCAATTATTTCTTAAAGAATGGCTTTGAACAGTCTTCAGGAACAACCAGCTGTGTAGAACAATAGCTAACCGAAAGATATTTATCTTTGATTTAGTTCAATATTTGATTCTTATCTGAATATTTACTCTTTACAGGGGAAGTGGCTGAGGATAGGGAGTAATTAGAAAATTTCTGAACAGAGGTCAGTTCAAGCACAGTCAACATCAAAATACCATCAAAGATAATACTCAAAGTTTTCAAAGAGGCTAAGGAAAGACTGTGGTCTGTGGGCTGACAAAGATGGGGAGGCTTCTAACTAGTGAGTTTGAACTGACATACGAACTCTTGTCCTGAAAACAACTCCTTCCTTGACACTGTGAGGTGTTAACAACCTTTGTTGTTAACCAAGATGACATCAGTGGAAGAATGGCCGTAGCTATCCCTTCCCTCCCGTGGCCCTACAGAGTGCAACGTACACCCAAGCATGCAAGGGCTTGATGCTGCACACCCAACCCAGCCTACAATCTTCCAATCCAGGCTAAAGAATCGCATTCCTCTTTCATCATTGCTGCCCCATGGACACATCACAGGAATACCAACATTCTTCAGGCAGAACCACCTCCTCCTGGCTAAGATAAAGGGCTACACTATCAATTGGCACCGCTCTAATCTAGGCCACAAAGAACAGTTACAGCCTAATTTTTCAGTCTTTCAACACTCAGATCACACTACATTTCTCCAAGACTAAATAGCAAATACCTACCCACTTGCCCTGCATATTCTAATATTTAGGAATGGTGACAATTTAATGCTGACTGTTGCAGTGGGTCATTTTGAAAAGGTCTTCCATAGTGACAACACGATGATGGAACTTCTCTGTCCTGTGTTTCAGTCATCAGAGGCAGCTAAATGAATACCAAGTTTGGGAGGGAGAAAGCAAAGTCAGTAGAGAAAAAGAGGTGTTGTACACTGGGCTGAGTACACTCGCAAGACTAAATTGCATCTAACTTATTACAAGAACCACACTTCATGGTCTCTGGCAGAAGAATCTGTTGTGCCAGGTAAGTGTCAGGGATGTGGATTCCTAAATATTCTTACCCTGCCCTGTTGGTGAAATTGCTAAATTTCTTTTATAGCTAAAAATATAGCCTGGCTTGATTTGCTTCATCTCACCGTTAACAAAATGCAGTCCTATGGTCACAAGTTCTACTGCGAAGCAATGGGACAGCTGCAATCTTACTAAAAATGCAAGGAGGGTAATGATGTCACTCTGACATTTGTTCCTTTATAACTGTCAGAGTGCCAACTGCATTTTATGCATTAGACTCAACTAATAGTAGTGATAATACAGCTTTCAGGCAAACCTTACCAAAAAAAAAAAAAAAAAAAAAAAAAGGCTTAATGAAGCAAGGACTCTCACCACTAAATCTTTTAGATGTACCTTGCTGCTGAAGACACTATAGAGGACTCCATCTGATAGACTATTGGAAAGCAATGAAGTTTCGAAGCAAGACAACAGAAGAAAAATGAGTCTCTAAATGTTAAAACCAAATTATTCTCCCTTGCGTGGAGAAAGAGAATCAGAGGCCTAAAGTAAATATTTGAGTCATCTGATCCACATGCTGTAGCCACAACTCATTAGGTATCTGCTAATTACAGCTTTGAAAGATGCCATGGAGTGACACAAGGCAGCCTTAGATGTATTTAGTTAGTTTTACAACTGAGGAGCCTGAGAAACCCTTGGGTTCTTTCCTACAGTCAACAGCTTCAACAAAGAGCCTCTCCATTAATTACAACCACATCTTGTCCTTTTTTATATATGAGAAACACTACAATCCTTATAAAAACTATAAAACAGCCATTGTCATTTAGGGATGCTATTAATCAAGGCATTCTCGTGTGTTTTCCCTTCACACCCTTGCCTAGATTTCAGCGTAACAGCTTGTTGGTTTTTAACTAAAAGCAGAACAGCCATGTGCAGCCATTGCAGAAGGCTCAGGATTTTGATTTCAGTGAAGGAAACACTTAGCTGTGATCCCTCTTGCAAAGGGCAGACCCCGAAGTGTCTGTTGGCATTACCAGCACTGTAATGAACAATCTGACAAAAAGGATTGAAAATAGCTACTTGGTTCTCAAAGTAACTTTCAAATTGTCGCTTCTCTCCTCCACTCCTGGAAAATCAGTGCAACAAACAGGAAAGAAGCTGAATTGTTTTTGCACTATCCCAAACAAGTTACTCCTGGGATTCAGACATGACATAAATGACAACCCCGAATACTCAGACTGAAGATTAAGAAAAACTTTCTAACATTAAGGATAAGCAGTTGCTTAATGAAGCTGAAGGGTTGTCATTACTGGAGATATTTAAGGACAGTTTAGACAAGCATCCATTAGGAATATTAGTGTAACTATTCTGCTTTGGGGTAGGAGCACAGATTAAATGACATCCTAAAATTCTTTCCGGTTGCCTGACACTACAACTCAGCAGCCTTCCATCCCAAGTTGCCCACCCTCCATTTTATTAGCCTTCTCTATAATTTTTAAACTCCTTCACAATTCTCCTAGGAACTCTGCACAGATATACTTGCAACTCCTGAGGAAGACTGGAATCTCAGTTACTTAGTAATAAAAAAAAGGAATAATAAAGAAGGAAAAAGAAAAAAATAAATGGGATTTTTATCTCATCGAGAGGTAAGAATGACGCAGAAGTCGCACACGATAAAAGGAGATATCAGAACCGCAGTAGTAGAAATTAACAGCAACATAAATCCTGTTAGCAGGTTGGCAGAAACCTGACATTTTTCATTTCTCAATAAAACTATTATACAGAGCTTCTGGAATAGAGAAGTAAGACTAATTCTGCCAGTTTGAGTCACAGCCAATTTAGGTAAGTTTCAAAGTTGTCCTCTTTTTGGGTCTGTGTTAGACACCTTCACTCTATGCCAGCTAATTTAGTGCTGCAGTAGATTGGCTTTGAAGCATCACTAGGTGAAACATGTTTTAAGGCACCTAGAAAACAATTAAGTGTTAGAGGATAACTCTGGAGTGAATTATTTACCTCCTCCCCCTCTGCCCCCAAATAAATAAAACCAAACTGTTTAGTTCAGATTCATTGCTTAAGGCTCCCAGTTTGTTACAGAAGTCTTCCGAGCCTTGACTTGAGCAGCCCATAACCAAGTCACCAGTTATCATAGAAACACAGAGAAGAGAGCCAAGGGACCTTGGTTAGTCCCTTCCTCTGCTCAAAAGATCTAGCACACAGGAAGAGGACGGCTGAGTAGGACAGGCCAGCAATAGCATGGTTCTTCCGTGTGGTTTTATGGGGCAGTTAACTTTTATTACCTGGTAATTACTGAGTAAGACTTCAGACAAGCTGACTCTACAGCCCACATGGCAACAGACTTGTGTGGGCAGTCAGCTTACAGAAATTGTGCTGCAAGACTAATGTTTCAGAGGGGAAAGTCATTCCATTAGGAAAGCTAAGCTCAAGAATATAGTCTAGCCATACTTTAATACTGCCATTAAAGAATATAAATACCAACTCTCAAGTTAAAAAATACAAAACCAAACTTGCAAAAAGGAAGCTAAGGAACAGGAAGAAGTTACCAGGTACAGGCTGCAAAGACAAAAAGTACAAAATATCGTAAGAATAAAAAAGGCTGGTGGGCAGGTGAGCAGGGATCAGATGACAAAAATGTGTCCGTGAGCTTTAGAGTTGAGGTGGGAAGATGCTTGCTTATAATAACACCACTAAAGTTGGTACAACCAGGAGGAGCAAAGAAGAGGGAAGAGATGGCCTTAGAAGAGGAAAAAAGCAGTACTGAACATGTACATTTTTCAAAGCAGAAGCAGTATATACCAGGGGTACAACAGCTGTTGCTTTAAAGCACTGGGTATTATTACCAAGGAAGTTGCTTGATATTTTTTTCTTCTTTATTGTTCATTAAGAAATAGTACTGTAGTAGTGTAGTCAATAATATGAAATATGTGTCATCAGAACACATTAATACGTGTAAGATCAGTACAAGCATTCTTCTCTGCAAGGCACTGAATATTTCTTTAAATGAACACTTTGGTGAACGTCAGACTGCTTTCTGTAAACTGATTCCAGTTAGCTAGTTTTGATCCTGTATACCTGTTTTAAACTTTATTTAAACCTTAAAGCTAAAAAGATATCAAACAATCCTAAACCATGTGATAAACAGATGCCAAAGTCATATAATTCCCAATCTCTTCTGTTCATTCTTTGCAATAAAAAGCAAAATCTACAGTTGATTTACTGTGCACTCAAATGTTGGGAGAATCCAGGAACATGTGGGATCAGTTTAGGTCAGGATCAAAACCCCATAATTTAGCTGAGAGCAGCTTCCAAACTAAGCTCATATTTTTTCAGACTATATTTATAGTCCAGTTACTATGTGCCAGTACATCATTAAATGTCCTAAGGACTAAAACAACCCTATTCTTTACTGGGAAGTTTTTTTTCCCCTTAAGTCAGAAATAGCTATTCTAGTATAATTCCGCATGAATCGGCAACACTCACAGTATTCGGTCGCCCATCCGATCTCCAGATCTGATGGCTACTAAGCTGACTACAGGCTCTTCCTGTTGCTGGTAAGAGATCACAGTCTCCTGTTCTCAATTTCTAACACTCACCTCTGCCTGACTATGACCACAGCTTCCCCTGACCAATGTGAAGCAGAAACTAGATTTGGCAAAAAAGCAGAAGAGACTTGGGATGACTGCGAGTGTCTGGTTCCATCAGGAGTACATCAGACTCAAGTAGGCTGTTGAGAAGATGGAGGGATAAGCTGCAAAAGCAGCAAAAAAAGAGAAAGAAAAAAAGAAAATAAAAAACCCCAGAAGCTATACCAAGGAGACCTGAACCATTCATGCTGTTGTCCGACCTACTGCCCAGAATGCAGGACAGGGAGTAAGAGGACTGACTCTGATTTCCACCGCTACTTTTGTGATATAAAAGCCCTTCCGTGGACTGCTCTGTCTGTACAATACAGATAATGATGCAACTTTCAAACGTTCTGGTTTCTATACTGCATGCTCAGGCACATGATTTTGTCTCAAAGTCTGATTATTTCCAAATTTGATGCATTAAAGCAGCAAACTGAGAAGAGTGTTGTGCAAGAGACAAATTGGACATGCATCAGAGATAGTAGTTTAACATACATATTAGAGGAATGGTGCTTTTTGATGAATTTTCAGAGCCAAAAACTTATCCTTACCGCACAGAAGTTGCTGTCTGTAGAGAAAGGCGTAGTGAGAGTAATGCTGACAGGAAAAGCAGCTAGCTGTCTCGGTATCTCTCTCAAACAACACTGGGGGACATGCTGAGCTCAGGAAGCAGTGAAAGAACGAGCAAAATCACGTCAGACTAAATCAAGTGACACTTCTGCTTTGCAAAATCTACAGCTATTGCAACATCCACAAACTTATTTGAAACACGAAACATGAGCTGAAAATGAGCTATTGGAAGATACAGGGTTTTTTCTTTCTTTTTTTCCTCTTACCACTTGAATGTATGCAGAAGATATAGTCTGTGTATTAAATGGCTTCCTAAGAAGAAAATGACAGAGACAGGAATAAATACCCTAGATTTACACAGCCAGTGCACATTCAGTGACAAGAAACTTTGCCAGGTTGTTACAGGCACTCATGAGATGGTCTCTAACGTCTGACGAAACACTGCAATATTCAGTGGGATCTACTGAAAGGCAGCCAACATGGCAAGCATCTTGGGTGCTTCTGTGACAATAATTAGCTTTATCAAATTCTAACTAGTGATGTCAAAATATTTTTAGCTTGTAGTCATGAGATGGGCAAAAAACATACAAGTTGGCTGCTTCATAGTAACATATGTTTGGTCTCAAGAGGTTAAGTATTCATCTGTTTCCAAATTGTGTTAAAAATTTAAAAAAAAAAAAAAAAGTAAAACAAACTCACTTTTTTTCCTGTCCATGATTTTGAAGCACGTCTACCTGCACATAAATTACAGCTTTGCAGGGCTTCTTATCTCTCTGATACTTCTCACGGCATAATGGCTTTAGTGTAGACCTGCAGGGTAAAACACAGTTTTAAGCATGTATAACAAAACTGAGCCCTGGGTCAACATGGATTAGTTGACAGGAGGAAAAACATCTTTGACACACAGATAGCATTTTGGCTGAAAAGGTCAGACTGCTGCGACACAGACAGCAAAGGGTCCTGAAATGTTTTTGCTTCCCTGAAACAAACAGATATCAGGACTGGATTTTTAACTCCACTTTTAAAAGTCTGACTTCAGACCCAATAAAAGCAATTAAATTATTCCATGAAGACAGACACACCTGAAGTCAAGCACAAGCCTCTGACCTGATACTGATTAAAAGGAGGAGCTGTACAACTCTTCTGATAGCCCACTACGGTCTTAGTGACATTCATGACATCAGCAGGTACTCTTGTGAATGTGGATTTTCAACCTTCGCATTGAGAAAATTGATAAATTAAATGAGCTGTATCTGCCAGTGATCCTATAGCACTTTTTTCCCTTCTTTATCTTAAAGCAGCCAGAAAAGCAAAAAAAAATAATCCAACAAACTCCAAACCTCAACCATTTCACTGCTGAGTTATAATATATTAAATCATAGATATGAGTCAACAATATCATGCTGCTGGGAAAAAACGGAAAACTATTCTGGGAAAAATAAACAGAAGTATCATCTGTTAAACACATGGTGTAACGGTTGCATCTGACTCCGTGGTGGGAAGCAGGCGGCTCAGCTGTGGGCACCATCATCCCCAGAGGATGTGGACAGAACAGAAAAAAACCTGGAGAACAGGAACAAGGATGATGAGGGGTCTGGGGAAGGCAGCTTATTAGAAAAGGCTGAAGGATCAGGGCTGCTTGTTCTGAGGCACAGAGAAGCAGTCCTCTTTGCGGCAGTCTTTGGACGTGTGAAGAGCGGTTAGAAAGCAGAGAATAGTTTCCCTCACACCCCCCAGGCCCTTGGACAGCGTTAAGCTCACTGGAGAGCATGGAGACAGGGCTGAGGCAAGCAACCCTGCTGTGACTTTTAGTATACCAAGAACTGCAAGTTTGCGCAATGCAATTTGGCTACCTTCTGAAAAATTCATCATGATCTTACTAGCTGATGCATTCCTTGTACATATGTAAATGTTTGCTCTGAAGTTGTCTTCCCCCATTGCCAAAACAACAGAGTGCTCAGCATTTCCTTCTGGTGTCCACCTGGCCCTTCGTTTCAAGCTGCTCCACTTTGATCTTCCTCCTTTCTGTTTACTGTTATTAGGTCATTAGTGGTTTGCCCATCTTTTTCCCCGAGCCTGGCTGTTGAGAAATGTGCTGGGTTCCCTTTGCTGACTCAGAAACATGTTGCACTTCTCCACTAGGAGCAGCTAAAGAAACAGGAGTGTTCCAGCAGTTTCCACAGACCAACCAGATTTCACAAAATATGTGCTGCAAATTAAACAAAAAATTCAGATAAAATAATCTATGACTGACAGAGCTACCACTGATAGATTACCTGCTCTGGAAAAAAACAGGGAAACCTGTTGAATATGACTGGAAAGTCTCTAGAGCTTATTTAAATACAAAGCAGCAACATGTAAAAGTCAAGTCATCCAGGAACAAATAGAGATGTGCACATTTAGTGTCTGTATGTTTGTTACCACAGCAGAAGCTAAATCTAGAGGGCAAGGGAGAAATAGATGAATGGCATTTTTGACAAGCACTAAGTTAATCATCCTGTATAGCTCATTCAGGGTCTCATATCTACGGAGATAATAATGAATCCCTTTAAATGCAGTAAGTTTGTTTCTCTTACAGGATAAGGACCTAACTAAAAAATTCAGGTGTCAGATAATCCAGGAGAAATTACAAAACAAAGTGCTATTTGTGCTTGATGCCCACAATTCAGTGTCTTCTGAGTGCATCGTGTCCTGGAAAACATTTCTAGAGCTCCCTGGTATTTCAGTTATCCTTCCAACACCACAAGCCATTTACAGATAAAGGCGTAAAGGTAAAATTACAGAAGAGCTTCTACCATAAACAGGAACAAGACAGATGTTTGAGATAACTGAAAACAAGCTATTCAGAAAGACCATGACACTCCCACTTCAGCTACGCAACCACAGATTTTGGGCATATTCACAGTACAAATAAACAATCCCAAATAGCTAAATATTTTTTCCCATTATACACTGTGGTCCATGTTAGCTGTCGTACGGACAATTAAGGGGCATTCTCTTTTTTCTCAATCAACTTGTATTTCAATAGCATTTAAATACATATGGACAATTTAATCTTTATTTATATTATAAATTTTTGTCATAGTAAGAGGGCTTATTGAAAATAAAATACAAAAATTCAAAAATTCTTTCTCCCTTTTTCTTTTCAAGCTCAATTTTCATAGTGCACCCCTTCTCCACTCATGGAAGGCCAGAGGTTCCTCACCACCCCAGATGGCTAAAACACAAAGCCCTGCAAGTTATACATCTACAAACTACTTTTATTGAAAAAATTGCTTCTGCCAAGAAAAGGTCTGTGTTGGACCTGATGGGAACAGGTCTCAGAATTATGAAACCAGTGCCTAATGCAAGGATAGAACTCATACAGCTAGATACGCCCCCCATGAAAAACGAAGACACAATATCTGTACCTCAGGACTATTAATGCATACAATTGTTAAATATCTGTTAAAACTTTAACAACCAATTGGAGACTAATGATACAGCCCATCAGAATTTAAGGCAGATAGCTAATTCATTCTCTTTCTTCCTATAAGGCATATTAATGTTGGGATATATTAAATCTGTGGTTTAATTTTAAGGCTCTGGACATTTGTAAGCAGTTTTAAATGATATGAAGTACTGAAAATGCAAAGTATTGGCTGACAAACCCAGCTCCACAACACCTTACATAGGCTGTGGTTCAACTGATGGGCACAGCCTGTCTGTGTAAGTCAAGTGAGATCAGTGAGCATGTGCAGGGGCCAGCAGGTACCATCCACGTCCTGCTTGATAATGCAGAAAGTCACCTGGAGGAAACACACGCTCAGGACCAGGTATATCCCAGCTCATCTGCTTCTGAAATCAATTCTGCCAAGCTCTTTCTTGAGGTTTTTGTTTTGTTTTAAGCTGGGGCTGAACAGGCAAACCAAGCAAACATTTAATCAAGCAACAGCAACCTGCTGATTGAGAACAGTGGTGTAGGAGAGATTAAATGAAAGCAACCTCAGCAGGAGCCCGCACTCCTTCGCCCAACAGTGGAAAAGACCTGGAGGTTGCCTGCTCTGACCTGGTTCAGTTAAGCCATTTATACCGCTGGGACTCAGGAGCTACAGGCCAACTAATACCTTTGCTTTACATTCCTTGGTCTTTTAAAGATCAGTAACAATATGAAAACCTCTCACCTTTCTATCTTTGTAAGCTGAAGGAATTGATGACACTTGATTAAGCCATTCTCTGACTATACTGTGGGGGTTTTTCCCAGCATAAATTAAGAATGTCTCAATATGAATTCCCTGAGAGCCTTTATCTGCCACCTCCTCCCAACCTCAATATGCTAGTGTTTCAGGAATTATTCTCAGAACAGCTACTGGTAGCAACTGAAAGGATTTCCTTCTTCTGCGAAAGCATGGCAGTGTTCTTTTTTTTTTTTTTAAACATTGATAGTTCTTTAAGTAACAATTTTGCATTTCAATATCACTTTACAAAGTTAAAATGTCTCCAAGCACTACTATTCACTTGTGGCAGCACCATCCTCATTTGAAATGTTGGGGAAACAGAAAAAGGAAGTGGGTAAAGAGAGAAAAAGAACAAAATTTTTCAGAATTGCTTGTTGATAAATCAAAAAATATTTTTCAAACAAATTTTCTACGTGCAAGTATCCCAGTTTCCCAGCAACTCTGTTAGTGACATAATGCTAACTTTGTGGGAAAGTAGCTCTGCATTGCGTTCTTTGGACAAGAAGTTAGGAGCTTTCTTGGAGTCTATTCATAACCCTGCATTTGCATTTGATAAATTGCTTCATTGTTATAGCAATTCCCCTTTAACTTGATGATTAATTATTCTTGTTTTACACAAAAAAATATTTGTTTTAAAATGCTAATCTTCCAGCATTTTCTGTATCATTAGATAGGCTCAAAGTTTTTCAAAACTTCAGGAAAGTTTTTTAGGTATTCTCCTCAAATAAAAACCATTTTATATAGGCTAAGTTTCTTCTACATTTTATAGAAGACTGGTACTAATTTTTATAGCATGATTTTAATAGCTTTTAAACCAAATAAAGTATTTAACTATCTAGATCACTATTTTAAAGCTAAAAAAAGTGAGTTTTAACATTGTTGCATCTATAACACCAGATAAAAAAATTAGTCCATGTGTTTTCAATTTATATATCAAATATTTGTCAATTCCTGAACTGCATTCAGTTTCTTGAAAGAAAGGCACAGGGTCCAAGTTTCTTCTAATTTATGCAGTCGTAATTTTTTTTGACATAATGGAGCTATTCATACCAGAGTGGGCAAGACCACACTCTGAGCAAGTTGGATCTTAAAAATACATATTCCAACCAAGCTCACATCAAGGTGAGTACTGCTTTGAAACTTTTTAATAGAAATTCAACCAAGTAAGTCATCTGTCCCAGCTCCATCAGCCTCTGGGGGATAGCAGAGAAAGGATCCTCTGGGACATTTCGAGCTACACAGGTAAGTGAGGTGAGCAACCAACTGGAGATCTGGTTTCTACCACCACCCAGCAAGCAATAACTAACACCCACGTTTGCGAAGGTTTTATCCTTGCACTTCTGGTGAGGAGCACAACACACCCCAGCACTGTGTGATGCTGGAGTATTTAATAAAGCACCGACCCTGACCCCCTCCTTTACAGACCCGTCTGGGCAACACCTTGGGTACTGTCATACACAGCAATGAGCATCCATCCACCTGCAGCTTGAGAAACACCCCGCTCACACATGCTTCTGCTTCTCTGCATCCTTTGCTACTTAAAATTTAGCTTTTCCCCAAGTAGTCTGTAAAATTTCTCTCCATTTAACCTTA